ACTGTAATCCCAGCACTTTGGAAGGCTGGGGCAGGCAGATCACTTTAGGTCAGGAGTTTGAGACCAGTCCGGCCAACATGGTGAAACCCTGTCTCTAGTAAATATACAAAAATTAGCGGGGCATGGTGGTGTACACCTGTAATCCCAGCTACTTGGGAGGCTGAGGCAGGAGAATCACTGGAACCCAGGTGGTGGAGGTTGCAGTGAGGTGAGATCACGCCACTGGACTCCAGCCTGGGTGACAGAGTGAGACTCTGTCTCAGAAAAACAAACAAACAAACAAACAAAAACAACCAAAGACCTCAAGACTCGCAGGGAACAAATCTGGAATGACAGAACACTGGGAGGCTGGAATGACACTTGAGGAACCAGAGGGTCCCTTAAATCCAGCTACAGGTCACCCAACCTGAAAAGTGGCAATTCTGGGCACATCTGTGCATGCCAGCAGGGCCACCAGGCCATGGATACAACCCACAGACACCATTTTACCCTCACCGGCAGCCAAAGCATGCAAGGGCCTGTGCTTCTCCCGGCCTCCGGTGTTGGCAGCGAGAGATTCAGTGGTGTCCTTGGGCAGGGCTTCCCTTCGGGGTCTTTTCACCGAGGCCAGTCCCTCCTCCACAGCCTATGAAGAGAAGACTCAATCAGCTAGAATAGGAAGAAACAGAAAACCGGTACCTCCTCTTCCTGGGGTGAACTGAAGAAGCCAAACCACACCGATTCAACATGAACAGAGACACCTGGTGCCCACTTCAACCATGCCCACCTCGTGCTCCCTCTTCCCGCTGCCGGCTCCCTCTGGCTGCTCCCCATCCATCTGTCTGCTGGGCTGCTTAGGTCCAGGGTCATCCGGGTGTATTTCTTTCTTCCTTAGGAATTCTGTGATTCCTAATGACTCAGCAACCTGAAAAGGAATGGGCCAAGAGAATAAACTTCACCCAAACAGCACACGCCCCCAGAAGCACATTCATGTGCAAGAATTAAACGACTTCATAGAATTAAATCTACAAAGTTCCTTTGTACCGTGAGGTGCTATCTCAACAATGAGAAAGATGAAGATAAACATAATGTTAGATGGACTAGCTGATGACAAAATGGATCATTATCAAAACTAGAAGGTTCTATGTGAGCACAATTTAGAGGAGGAGACCAAAAGTTTTTTTTTTTTTTTTTTTTTTGA